TACAGTTACTCTCTGAAAGGGGTTTTATTATTAGTATTACTACTTTTTTTTTTTCTTTTTGTTTTTTGGTGGGGAGGGGGAGCTTTTTTAATTCAAGATTAATGTGTATCATTTATGAGCCACTGATCTCTGCAGTCATACTACTTTTGAAGTAATCTAGCATAGAAAATTTTAATTGAGAAACATCTAATTCAGTTTCTTATCATAAACCCGAATCCTGTATGTCCTGCTTTTCATTTTGTTTTAGAGCAAACTTACTGCGTTGCATAGCTGTATTGAAAGGCAGATCAACATATTAGGATGCCTTAATCATGTCATACAAAATAATTGGTGATGAGGTTTCATAGTGAGTAAAAAAGTTATCTTTTGTGATTGGGCTTGGGGCAATTAGACCTGCTAACACTGTGAAATGTGTCCTTCAGTGAACTTAAATATGCAAGCTATCTAAACAAATCAGACTTGTGCTGCACCTGGTTTTGTCCTAATTTGCTAAATTGTTGCTTAATCTTGACTGAGCGAAGAAGGATTGTTCATCCAACTTCTGAGGGCTAACATATTTGTGATTTTTAACTTTCCAAGATTTTTCTGCCTCTATTTCATCTGTGCTCTCCTCTAGTCAAAATTTTGGATCCAATTTCTACCATTAAATCTACCCTTTTACAACTTTGAAGTTCGAATGTCACATATTTTTACAACAAAAAATCAATATCTGTCCTATTATCTATTGTACTGCTTCATTTGAAAATGCCATTGTAAATATATTTTCACCTACGGCTTGTGGTTTCTAAGTGTACTTTTAATATTAAATTTTTCTATATTCTCCCTTTTGAACTTCTGCTACTCTCTAGAAGTGTAAGGACAATAATACCAAATTGGAAGACAGTAGATTGACCATTGTGATGCTTACAGAATCCAGAGAACTCCTGCAAATTGCATTATGCTATGTGACCTCAGGTTTAGAGATTAAAAACAACTTATTAATTAGTGGCTGGATCAATGTGCTCTGTGGCTCAACCTAGGAAATGACATGTCAAAAACTTTTAGCCTATATGAAGTTTTGAAACTCACATCCCTCAATCTATTGATAAATCTAATGAACGAGAGAAACATCAAGCTCTCAACAGCTGTTATTGTTCCAGGAAACCAGCAAGGAATGGTCAATAGAGCCCTTTCAAAATGAAGGACCGAGTTTTTCTTTTTATGGTCAATCACCATTAACTTTCGAGAATTCACTAGTAGTTTTCCTTTCAGGGTTAGTTTTCTTCACTATTCGGTGGTGGAATCCTGCAACCTTTGAAGCCATGCATCAAGAAGAAACTTCCCACAGAGTCTCGTGGCCATATGGAGTGGAAGACAAATCCTACCTGTTGAAATGGTTGTTCTGGGTGCCCTTGTTTGCTTATACCCTGTGGCAGGCTCTTTATTTTCTCATTGTCAATGTCCTGCGTCGGCAGAGGCTATTAAGAGATCCTGAAGTCATGACGTCTTACAGGTTCGGAGTTCACTTTCTACATGGATATTTGGCTTTTACTGTGCATACAGTCGTAGCTTGTTTACTTTACAATCGTAACTATATGCATTTGCTGTTACTTCTAATTGCTGTTTTTGTCTGATAGGGAGCTCTCAAAAAAAGCCCAGAAAGCAAACAATATATGGTGGCAATTGAGTGGTTTGCTTGGGGACCAGAATCGCCTACTAATGTACACTCTGTTTCAAGCTATGTTTACTGTGGCAACCATGGCACTCACAGTCCCCATCTTCTTGTCCTATGAATTGCATGTGGCTTTCCAAATACTCAAGGTTTCAGCAGCTGCATGGAATGGAGGAAGCTTTCTGCTAGAGGTAATGCCGAGGCAGGTGATTCTCAAAGAGAAGAAGAAATCAGAAATGCATCCAGCACCCACTCAGCAAGACCAATCATCGGTTGTGGTGGAAAATGCAATGAACACCGAAATCTCTGCTGAGGTGAACCAGTCCTAACAGATATAAATCCATGGTGTTGTGTATGGACTTGACATACCGGTGGAACTCATTTTGCATGACAAGGAAGTAGCTTGTAATAGTTGAAATTGTACTTTATAAATGAATCGGCAATAATTCTCTTATATAGGTGGTCTTATCACGTAGATTCAGTCAAGGGTATTAAGATTTCATATTTTTCTTTTTGTTTCTTTATTGTTATTATTATTATTTTGTATATGCACAACATAAATTTTGTTTACATTGAGTTAGAAGTGAGAACTGGCACCTCATCCAACTGGTCGGTTACTTCCATGTCTGAGGTACATGGTCACAGGTAGCTGTTGGAGAAAATATTGTGGTTAGAGATAATAGAGCAGTTTCTCCATCCTCTGTATATTGTCACATTGCTGCAATTTTTACCTGGTTACTGAGAGAATTAATATATAAATTAGTTTTTGTTTGTATGAGCTGTTAACTGGAAAGGTTGATTGTACACAACGTAAATAATTATATCTTTTTTTGGCAATGAAAATACTGTTATTTTATGCACAGGAAGAAGTAGAACCTCTGCAGAGTCCACCCATTAGAACCTGAGCTCATCTGCTCGAACTGATAATCAGTTTTTCAATTTCAGAGTGATGCAGCGCAAACCCTAAATGGTCGGCTGATGGTTAAAAAAAATTGCTTTTTTTTTTTTTTTTTTTTTTAAATCACGGGGCTACCATCAAAGATAATTTATTAAATTCTTCGGCTTGATAGTTAAAATGGTTTGTTATTTTCTTGGTTTTTTGAGTTGACAGTTATAGAGCTACCATCTAAGATAATTTATTATATTCTTTTGAAAGTATTAGATCAATGTGAGGATGTGTTTTTAAGATTTTCCGGAACAAAAAAAAAAAAAAAAAAGATTAGTCACGATCGACGTTGTCGATCAAACTGATTTGAGAATATTTTCATTATTTGAACAAAAAAAAAAAAAAAGTGGTGTAGAGCATGTTATAGAATAAATCTTACTTTAAATAGTTAAACAAAAAATAAATAAAATATAAAATTGAGAAGAGTCACTGATTACAAAGTTTAAGTTTTTTTTTTTTTTACTAAAATTAATTATTTAACTCTACATGCTATCAAAGATTTAACAGACTTAGTAAAAATTTTAAAACTTAAACCACTTGACGAGACTTCAAAAGATGAGTTATAAGTGAGGAAAAATGTTAAAAGAATAAATCAACGATCTAGTAAAAATTTTGAAACTCAAACCAATTGATAGACATAAAAAAATAGAAACTCAAACTAGTTCCATTGTTCCAAGCCACTTGATATATCTTAAAAGATAGGCTGCAAGTTAATTAAGAGCATTGTTGAAGAACAAATCCCATAAATCCTATACTGAATAATTTAAAAAAAAAGTGATTAATATATAAAATTGAGATGAGTCACATACCTCAAATCTTTAAATCTTTTAAATAGAATCTATTCTCAACAAATTCATTATTTTATATCACATTTATTAAATCTCTAAAGTTTCATTATTTTCATGTTAGGCCTAACTCATTCATTTTAATCCCTGTTTGGAGTTCATCCTTTTTCTTTTTAAAAAATTTTATATTAATTCTTCTCAGGTTGTGTACGATTCACAAACATCCAATTATATTAAACATGTTTATGTTGCATGTTATACACTAAATGATGAAACATTTAGTTCCATGTTAGATTGAATCGAACAGAATATGGTATTAATGACCTAAAATGATGAAAAATTTCATTACTAGAAAGTTTCTTTTACAATCATGAATTCTAATGATCGATAACTAAAGAATTTAATAATTATTTTGTAATACTAATTTTCATAATAAAAATTTGTATATCATTAACTAATTATATATAATATGTAAGCTGTAAAATGACTATATTTTTATATATAATAATTATTATATCATAAACTAATATTATATGATATGTAAACTGTAAACTGACTATTTTTATATATAATAATTATTTTGTAATACTAATTTTCATAATACAAAAACTTATTCTTTTTTCCTTCTTATGTTTCGATTTTCAATCCTTATAATTTGATTAAAGCTTTGATCTCTGATTCATTTAGTTTAACAGGCTAGGTGCGAGTTTTCATCAGCTGCATGGACTTGCCCTAATTGTTTTCTTATCCTCCTTTACAATGTTATAGGTACTCATTTTATTTTATTTTATTTCTCTAATTGTGTCTAGTATTTATTTATTTATTCAAAAATTATATATGAAAAAATTATCTCCTTTTTAACTTCCCTTTTCCTATACAATTTTTGTCTCTTATTTCCTGATCCTTTTATCTTTTGGCCATTTTACTTTGCTGGGCCATTCGATATAAGTTGCTTAGAACATAGGCAGACACAAAAATAGTTCTCAAAGGCAGGATTTTTCTACATGGCCCAAAAACTTAAGCAAAAAAATATGCTGACTTAGGTCTTCTTTTTTTCCCTCCTCCTGGTATTTGAATTCATAAATAAAACATAAATAAGACAGAAATTGTAATACCAAAAAAAAAAAAGAACAAAACAGCTTACAAACAAATCGTTTCCTCATACAATGGCCTATAAAATGCGGCTGATGTCAGTTACACTCAAAATCCCAGCAACCCAAAACCCAACTAATAACAACAATGAAGGCAGCCTCACTGGAAAAAAAAAAAAAAATGGAAGAAAATGTAAATGAAAGTAACAAAAAAATGAAGGAGACCTGTTGCAGGGCTCAGAAATGACGAGGCACCCTTGCCTCTTCCTATAATTGCACATTATCACACTTCACTGTGACATGGCTTCTTAACAAAACCCCCTCGTGTTTATGTAACACAAGGGAAAGAATGAATTGACCCAGGCATCAAATATGGTAGCCTGATACTAATGCAATATAAATATACATACAAATGGATAATGATGGATAATGTAACTATATGCACAGGTCTTGGCATGATGAGTTTATGCACAGTTCTTGGCATATCATTGTGCAGGTTATCCCCTTGATGGTCGAGGAGAAGAACATCACTCAGCACGTGGCAGTAAGAACCCAAAACCAGAGTTTTCACGAATTAATGGTGGAGGATTGATGTCAGCTATGTCTACTTTTTGCATTGACTTGGAGATGTCATCCACCGAAAATGGGATGCTGCACGACAATTAAACCATAACTAAAGACAGAAAGATGGTGGGGGTATGTCTGCTTATGAACAAAGATGAGAACGAATTAAGTGCGGTTGCATGTAGCAGATATTGAAAATTCTACCTTGAATCATCATCCAAAAGAAAAGAACTGCTAACAGCATTGTTCGAGTCCTCTGTCATCATAACTCTCATACTAGATATAACCTGTATAACCACTTAAGTTTTAGCACAGAAAATGTGTATATCTCACAGGAGTTCACGACAAAAACAAGAATGGATATAAACCATTTTAATTCATTTTCAGCTGACAACACAAATGCAAAGCAATCTTGCCAACATGAGTGCAACTTACATCTGAAGACACGCTATGGGTGCCATATTTATCATCCCAGTACATGGTACTGATCCTGTACAACTGCTGTATGCTCAGCACCTGAAAATGCAGATACCAAAATATATATTTTTTAATACTATGACAAGATGTGTGAGAAAAACATCCAGCATGAAAAAGAAAAGATCATAAAGAGAACAGGCGCTCACTGGGCAAAGTTCTTTTGTTATTTCATTCAAGGTCTTTTTGGGCTTTTGATGTATGACCTGAGCAGCGATATTGAAGGAGAATGGTCAGAATACCAGGCAATACTGATTATTGATCCACTAATGAGAAAAGATTTAAATTCCAGCCTTACTAGGAATCCAACAGCCTGTCTTATATGCTTCAATTCATCCCAAGCTGAGCCAGCAAACTGTAAATAAGAAATAAATAAAAGATAATAGGTAAAAACATATCATAGCATTGCAAAGAATCAACAGCTGAAAGAATTTTGAGTGCTCACTTCCTCAGTTGCCTCATAGCTCCACTGTTCTAATTCAGCCAAACCGGCTTTTACATATTCTCCGTTACTGAATGAGCAACACTCACGCCGTAAAAGAAGACTGCAGATGAGTATAAAACAAGACATTACATAATTTTCATGGGAAGAGAGGGAGAGAGAGAGAGAGAGTTGTTTTGGATGTATTTACCTGTTGAACAGCTGAACATTGATGAATGAGAATATTTGAGTGAACACTTTACGGATTAAGAAGGGAGGTACCTGAAAATCAGAATATTAATGTGAATGCTACTTTTCCAAGAAAACAGTTCCATAGTTGTTTATTACCTTCTCTACAGCTTAGTAACTCACATTGTTTGCTTTCATTGTCTTCAAGTAACTATTTAAGCTTTTCACAATGCTTTGCCAATGAGCAATTAAAGCTTGCTGAGCAACAGCATTAGCTTGAGAGCGACCTTTCACTAAACTTGCACGGGAAGTCCTTGGTGCCTGCACAATGTTTGAAATGTATTCATAAGCGCACGCACGCACACACATACAAAGAGGCTGTCTTAATTTATTTTTATTTCTTCCTCCTAAGCATTGTTTATTTACTTTCTTTTGAATAAAGCTAGCAAGTGTAGTAGCTATTGAATCATGCCTACTGAAGTAGCTTAGAAACAACCTGAATGCATAACCCAAGCAATGGGGAGATTTCTTTCTTCAGATTGTCTCGTATCATTCCATATATCTTCTCAAGGAAGGCTGTAAGCTGCTGCTTGAAAAGTAAGGCTGGATACTTAGCCTCAACCTGTCGCAAGTCATCCAGTCTACTAAGCCCTCGACCATTGAGAAACGAAAGTCCAGCACTCTGAGGGGATGCCCTTAGCCCCTAGAATACCATGAACAATTATAAAAGGGGAAAAAAATATGAAGACAAGATCTAAGAAACTTCTATACAAATTTTTACTTGAGACATTCTCCCAAAAGAGAAGCCGACGCCGTTCTCCGTCTTTGTGGTGTCAAGCTAGCAGCACCACTTGCTTTGAGCGTGTGTTGCAGCAGCAGCAGCAATGTGGATGAATTGGATAACCAATAAGCTAAGACATCATTGTTATCCGGGACCTTCAGTGAGATAAATAGGTAGCCAACATTAGTCCCATCCAGTCAGTTTACAACTCGTTTGAGGTGACTCCAAAATCAGAAGGTGATATAATGTAAGCTTGTATAAAAGAAAGGACAATCTGATTTTCGAACACCCAAAAGATAGTTTACCTCAATGGCAGAAGCTATTGTCTGAATGATACGATCAAAAACAGTAGTCCTTTCAACTTCAAATGACCTCCAGTGAAGAAGACATTTGTATATGACACAGGCAGCAACTGGTTTTCCCCCAGAGAATCCCAAGTTCTGTGATACACACTTGATCAGCAGGTCCTGGTTCTCCTGAATAAAAAAGGCAGATTGCAAGAAATTAATTAACAAGAGGTTATGATCTTAGAGGTATCAAAGATTAAGATCCTCGGTCCTCAATGGAATAAAAAAATACAACTTACCATCTCGCATGGATGTTGCTTACCACATTATTACTTGATTAAGAAATCAATGAAATGAGTTGTTTACTTGCCAAAAGCCACTTACCTGCTGCTTTTCATTGAGAGATTTCTGTGGTTTTTCCTCAGATTCCGGTTCACGAGCATTTGATGTAGAAAGAGCAATGTCCTATGATATGTAGTAGACAGAAAAAGAATTTAGAAACAAAGCCCTAATCCAAATACATTGCAGTAGTTGATTTATCACCCCCCCCCCCCCCCCCCCAAAAAAAAAAAAAAAAAATCCCCTTACCGATGCCACCTTCACCTCTCCATTTGCAAGATTTCCATTCTCAGGAGTTCTCTGCAATTTAATAAATAACATGAAATTTTAGAACCTCTTATGTCATAATACTATGAAAAAGAACAAATGCAAAATTCCATTTCCACCTGGATAATCATTGATTTTGGCCGTGCAGACAAAGATTTCCCTGTTGGGGACATGGTCAGTGCCTGTTGACGAAGCACTTGATTCTCTGACTCTGAGTTGGAAAGTTTCTCCTCCAGCCTGTAATATAAATGAACCTTTGACATATAAAGTAAAAGGAAAACTCCAAAGAGAAAGAGAGGAGCATGTGTGCATGAAAAGTGCTGACACAGGTAAAATCAAATGGATGACTATAAGCTATGAGAAAAGTACACACTTGCAGACACAAGTATCACATGACAAGGGTGCAGTTATCAAGGCTGATGTCAAATAGGCAGACAAGAGAAGGGAAGGATTGCATTAATTTAAACTGGCACAAGCCAATCAGTGATAGTATAAATACAAAACAATCATATGACATAAGTGTTAATATCCAATCAGCTCCACTCTTCCATGCATTCACAAACCTCTGCACTGATTCCTGAAACTGATCCATTTTTTTCTCTGCATCTTCTAGTTTCTTAGACAGTTCTGACTTTATAGCCTCAGCATCTGCATGTGCTTTCCTTGCCTCTTCTGCTGCCTGTCTTTCTGAGAGCAGCAAAGCCTGGGCAGTCACAGAAATTTATTCAGGTCCCAGTAGCATCCACAACAGCAATGTCTCAGTTATCATTGATGTTTTAAAAATTGATTTTATCATAAAAAATTAAAAAATCTACAGCAAACAGGTTCATCTGTCAAATTTCGAACACACAATCAAATCCCATGTGCTTTCTCAGATTCAGTGAAAACAGTCAAATTTAATCAGCAAAGTTAGTAAAAGGGATGAATAGGTTTAAAACCTCATTAGTTCACAATGTTATAAAAACTAAAGGAAAGTTCTTGATTGGGAGCACTATTGGCATGTGCAAACCTGCAAGTTGATCCACATAACAACATAAAGCTTATGACACAAGCAAAGATATTGCGAAGGGAGATTCACATACTCCAAAAAAACCCACAAGATGATCCCAGGAAACATTCACATGCAGGGGGGTTTCAAGCAACAAACTGAAATGATTAATTAGTTCCAAGGGAGGGATTCTACAATAACACATGGTTTTTCAAGTTCACTCTGCAGTCATCAGTCAAGTAATAGGTGAAGTTCTCATTATTGCCATTGGTGTAAAAAAAAAAAAAAAACCACTTGATAATCTTCTTGTAAAAGATGCATGCAAATGATACAAGAAGGTATATATTGGTGCAAAATTTACCATGATCGTCCATGTGAGTGCGCTTACCTTCAAACTCTCTACCTCAGTCGTTAATGATTCAACCTTTTCTGTGTCTTGAACCATAAGAGGGGTCTCTTTAATAATTGGAGGTGCTTCTTCAATTGCTTTACGAGCTTCCTCTCGTTCTTTGATTACTCTGGCATTTGCTTCTTCAACTTGGATTTGCATTACATGCAAAGCATCTTGTAACTTGGCAATTTCTTGTGCCTTTTCCTCTTCCAGATCAGTCTGCGATTCAAATGAACACCAGATTAGATTGTGCTCAGTGCAGTTTGTATTGCCAGCACTGATATTAAACAAAATACAGTACCCTCAATCTCTTCTCCAACTGCAATCGCCATGTTAATTCTTCTACACGCTTTTCTAATTTGTCCTTTGCTTCTTTAAGGGCCCCTGTTTCCCTTGAAGCCTGAAAACTTATCATAATTAGTATTATCTGAGTCTCCCTCTAAAATAACATGAGTTGCCTTAAAAAAGTATTTTGAAAACAAAACCACATAAGGAATTTGATTTAACCATTTTGAGCTTCCTAAGCTCTCTACGAGCAACCCTTTGCCTCCAACCGCATTGAGAAACTAATGCAGCCTTCTGAAGCCTCTTGTAATAAGAATATGCTATGTGGTGACGCAATTTCGCCTGATAGACACCAAGAAAATTAATCAAAGTCGTCAAAACTCACTTTCAAGTTTCAAAAGAACAAAAGTCAATTTCATTCCAAGTATAACAACTGAAAATTATGACTGGCAAGTTTTAAGAGCTGAAGAGCTTCGTTTTTATACTATAGGAGAATGTGATCACAAGAGGTGGGAGGATGGGACCTGGACAATGATCGCAGCTTTAGTTTGCTTTCTGAATCTGAATTCATTGCGAGCAGTCATTGCCCTTAAGCCTGTCTGCAATGAGATTGCTGACAAACATAGAGTCAAGTAGGCTTTCCTGGCAGTGTATCGCCTGAAATTCTTCTGAATCTTCAAAGCTGATGCTTCTTGCCGCAGCCCCTCACATAGCTTGCGGGCCGATACACCTAATTTTAATTACAAAAAAACAATGGACTATGATGTCAATACTTAATGTACAACATATATGCACAGTTAATAATATCAAAAGCCAGTTACATTTAAGTTACATTTCTAAGAAAGTTAAGAAGATACCTCTGCAATGAGACTGTAAATGGATGGCAGCATGACGCAATGAAATGAACCCTTTGCGAGCAATATACGTACGGATTTGCCTTTGTATGGTTCTAGCTGCATTTCCAAGTACCTCTGTTCTTCTTGCATCCAGTTCAGCCATCTGACCTGCTCTGAGAAAGACTTTTGTCTTGCCTATCTGCAAAACCATTCATGTTGGACATTGTAAGATATAGGCAACTCGCAAATTCCACTGGCAAGATGAAATATAGACAAGGAAAATGTACAGATCAATAGCATCCAGGAAATACCATGACAAATAACATAAATAAGAGCTTGGAGACTTTACATGCAGATTGTAAGTATTCCACACTAATTATCATTTTAAGAATTCAGAGATTCCAGTGAAACTCCTAAGTCTCATGCTGATGAGAAGGAGAATGTGATGATGACAGGAGGAGTACAAATGTGGTGGTATTAATCAGGCAACCCACTCTCTGGTCATTTCTCCTCAGAACACTGACACAACTTAGATATTAATTGCATCCTATTTTGCATAGGCCACCGAAAATTTCTACTTAACTCCATTCTAAGCTTTGAAGCTCAATGAAAATCTAATGTGTCACCACACATACTCATTGAAAACTAAGAGAAAATTAGTACCCCCTTTCTCAATGCTCAGGATAGGAATGACAAATTATATCCCTGACGCAGAAAGATTCAAGGATGATAAGTTGAAGGAGATAATCTCATTACCTGATAACCTTTCAATCCCATTTTATCCAAAATCATTTGGCAAGCAACCTTGTCATCATGGCTGTAAAGGAAAAAGTGACAACAGTTCAACACAAATAATGTACTGCATAGAAGGAAAAGGAAGTGCTAACCCAAGAGGGATGAAGAATATTTTTTTTAAAAAAACTTTAACTTATGACTTACTTTCCTTCCAAAACTTCTGGAGCAAGAACGCCAAAACGGAGTAGGAACTCATAGAATGTCCGCCTTGTAGGATACCCAGCACAGCTAATCCTAATTGCCTCCAGAACACCCTAAATGAAAAATAAATTCAAATTACAATTATGGTCAGTATTGCAGCACATAAAGGTTAAACTTGTTCATTTGAAAAAATAAATGAAGCACATCAAAAAAAGGATTACATAGCCTGATTATACTTACACCGCATCGTAGTTGCTGGATAATGTTAGCATTCTCAAAAATTGCAGGCTTTAGTAAATTGTTTGGCTTCACACATCTGATATAGTGAGGCTCCGTAGAACTCAAGGTCTCCATCAAAGATTGGAGTTGTAGCTGCAGTGCTTAAAACATATTATCTCTACAAAGTTGAGTAAGATTATAAACAACAGCAGTAGAAAAAGGTTGATTAAAACTAGCAAACATGCAAATCTAATGCATTAATAATGCATCTTACAACCACAGTTAGACAAATAGCACCATCATACTTCAGAATTGGTGCACATCTATCTATCAGTACTTTAGTGTTCCACAAAATGATTTGCATGCTACGTTGTTTGCCAAAACTGTGTCATTACTTAAAAACACAAATTCTATTGAAGTGCCACACGCTACTATAGTAAGGAGAAACTTTACTATTTGGACACGAGATAAAAATGGTATTATTGTTGAGGATTTCACAATGTGTTATTTCTCTATGAGCTTTTGAGTTGCAGCATGTCAGATTGATCAGTGTGATCTTATTCAAATCGAATCGCTCAACCTGAATTACAAAATATACTTGCCTTTCAGATATTTTATCACCTTCATATTGCCATTGACCATAAATTTGTTCCATAATCGACAAGTAGGTGCCACCATTGGGCTCTTACTTTCAGAAAATAAGTTAATCAATAACAGCAAGAATTTCACTTCATTCAATCTAGGAAAACTGAGAAGAAAGTAAATCATCTCATACCTTAAAACGTGACCCAATGGAAGAAAATTTAGATGACTTTGATGATTCATCTGGAAGTGGAGGAAATAGGCCAGCTACAAAGGGGCATTTGGAAGCTGTCAAAAGACCCTGATGTTCTGCCACTACATAATCTTTGTTTTTGTCTAGGAACTGATCAGCCAAATATACCACCTGAGAGGAGAAAGGGAGATAAATATTTCAGATCCTATTGAAGTTTCAGTAAACTGAACAAAAAATATAAAGATAAACTGTTTTACCTCTCCTGCATAGTGAGATATTGTAAAGCTAGTACGAGAAAGCTTAGGCTTGATAAACCGTTTGTTGTTTTTAAATGTCTGATACAATTTCTGAGCAAATGTTTCATGTGTAGATTTAGGAAACATGCTGTAAGAAGCAATTATAAGTACATGAGTCTCTAGCCAAGGAATATTTTTCAAATCATTAAAATGTGAGTATACAAACTGCACGCTATAACCAAATATGAATAAACTTAGTTTTGATGGAATTTTGTATGCTTCATAAAATGTATGAGGAGTGATTTATCAAGTAGAATCAAATACTAGCTGCATACCAGGCTTCATCAAGAAGTGCTATGATACCCCCAGGTTTCTGCAAACGATTGAACAAGACAGTCAAAGCTATGAGAGACCATGAAATAGGGAATGGGACAAGGCATAAATGGATGAAACAATATACTGGAATAGGACACAGGTCCACCAATCATTCAGTACTCTGTCGAGCATAATATTATTCAAACAAATGAAAAATTATAGAAATTAATCAGTGTCAAGCAACAGTAAAAGACCTTCTCAATCAGATCCAGCACATCTTGGTTATCAACAAATTCTATGTAGCTCCAGTTGATTTCTTCTTTTGTATATTCTTCTTGTTCCATTTTAAATACATGCTGCAAACAATACCAAGATGACAATCACCATTTCCTAAAATCCAGCAAGGCCAATAATGCAAATGGGTGACCAAGGATTATGTCAAAAATTCTAAACCTGATTGAAATGCTGTTGAAGTTTTTCATTTGTAAAGTTGATACAGAACTGCTCAAAACTACATAATATGACAAATGGTCAGCTGTGCCTGTATGGAAAAATACTACTATATAGCAAATAATATTTGAGGCCTAAAGGCTTACCTGTTGAACTTAAAACTTTCAAAACCATATATATCAAGAACTCCAATCAATGATTTAGAGTTTGGATCTTGCCCAATAGAATTGTTAATTTTATCCACAAGCCTGAAGCAAAAATAAGTAAGCACTTGTTAAAAACTGAAATATTTGCAAACATGGTTTAGAAAAAGAGCCAGTTTAGTGGACAAAAATATTTTATCTCAATTTATTTTATTCTTCTTAATGATAAAAATTTAAAACTGCAACTCTATATACACACACACACAGAGCAGTGTGAAGGTAGTCCCTTTACCAATCAAACAAGCGGGAATAAATGGTTTTAGCTAAGGCATCCCTGCTAACAACTGCAGAAAGAGGATCAAGAGTTCTTGTAATAATCTCTTCTGGAGTTACCATCACACGCTGTATCAATGCATCTTCCAAGCTCTTGGCATCACACCTACATCACAATATAAATTACTAGATGTATATGTTGCAAAACCAGCATATGTAATATAGATCACAAAATGCACCAGAACACATAAAGGGAAGAAATAAGTCATACTGGAGTAGTTCTGCTGTCATGTTGAGATGGAACCTAGATTTCTCGTCCTTGATAACGGATGAGTCTATTTCCTCTCCTTTTGCAAATTCAATGTTCCCAAGATGCAGAATGGCAGCTACAACCCTAAAAATAGCCTCCTGGAAGATATGGTAATAAAACGTGAGTGAAATGGACAAGAACACATCATTTCTTAGAACTAATGTGAAGACTGACCTGCTCTTCCTCACTAATGCCAACTATATCCATTGCCCTTCTGGTTGCAAGGTATTCCTCGGCATCGTTTACTCCATCTAACTCATAGCAGTTCGTCTGATTCAGGTAATGGAATGATTTGGGGTTTCCCAACTTATACTGCGCTCTTTCCTGAAAATTCATAGGGAAAACAGTCAATTAGCACTTGAAAATACAAGCACGGAAGTACTAAACATTTTCATTCATTTCAATACAAGCATAAAGTACAAATACCTCCGGCGGTGCAGCACACAGAAGGTAAAAGCAGTGGTAGTTTCTTTCAGGGTCAGAAACTTGGCAAACACGAGATCTTTCAAGTAAATAAGTACGTATAGCTGCTCCAGATATCCTCCCATTCTTGTCAAATTGAATCTCAACAAATTTGCCAAATCGACTGCATTATGATATGAAGACTATTAGCTATAATTTCCTAGACTAACTTATGCATACAACACTCTCGAACAATATTTTTCAAAAATTCAAGAAGAAAACACTTAAAAGAGAACGAAAAAGAAATCCAATTTAAAAAGTTTAGAAATGAAAAAGAACATTAGTCAGAATGACCATGAAGGGACCATCAATTCATTTAAATCAGAAGAAAAACATGTTCTAAAACATGGAAAAGCGATGCCACTGATCATATTTATAGTCTATAATCATTCAGATAATCGCTCTTCTGTCAAATTTGTTTTTTCCAGCATTGCTTCAGGAAAAAGAAACAACATGCTAAAAAATCATAATTATTTCACCTTATTCTTCATTAATCTTTGAATTGATGGCCTTTTTATAATTCAACCTCCCAGAGAAGGTCACATACAAAATCACTATTTTACTTAATTTCCCAAATAGGGAACAAGTACTCACCTGGAGTTGTTGTTCCTAACTGTTTTGGCATTGCCAAATGCTTCAAGAACTGGATTAGACTGAAATTTTCAATGAACCAGAAACACCATATAAGGGAATGCTTACTAAATGGTAAAAATCAGGGGATGTATAACATAGTCATAGAGAGAAAAGCCCTTCATCTTACTTCTAGAACTTGTTGCTCAACAGTTCGGCCTTCCACGCCTGATCGACCACCCATGTATGCAAGATACCGCATAAGCATCTTTGTTGTCTCAGTCTTACCAGCACCACTTTCTCCACTAACTAGAATTGAGTTGCTCTTTCCCTCATTGATCATTTGCCTATGTGATAAAAGTATATAATTAAGAAAAACAGCAAGGAAAATGTGAGATCAGATAGAATAAGTGAAAGTTACCTGTATGCAACATCTGCAACTGCAAAAACATGAGGGCTTAGCTCTCCAAATGCAGCACCTTTATATTGTTCCATCATGTGCGTATCATACAGATGTGGTAATCTTTGGAATGGATTTATTGCAATCAGTATATTTCCAGTGTATGTCTGCAGAACATGTCAGAGCACATTTATTGAGCAGGTTACTTAACGAATGGTTCCTTTTTTCTGAGGAACTCCTCAACTCAATGCTTTTTTCTATACCTTAAGTTAGAAAGAGAATTTCTGAATGATCTTACATATATTTCATTAAGTTCATATCTTGCAGCCAAGTTATGAAGAACTCCTGGTTCATGCAAATATGACAGCTTTGTCATGTCATCTACACCTCCAGGAGGAGCTTCGGTATCCTTGGGAAATACTTTGGAGATGCTTGCAACAACCTGCAATTAATTTTCCAGTAATTTGAGAATCATAGGACTGTAATTAGAAAAAAACATTAAGAGAGGGAGGATATAAGGAATTCCCCATGACAATGACAAAATGAAGCGAAATCTCAACCCAGATTAAAATTGAAGTCACATGACAACTTTAAAGTTTTCTAATTGCCAAGAATTTTTGCTTTTGTAAACTAGTGAATTAATTATTTGGGATTGCATATTTTATATACAGAGTAAATGTCAATCACAGTGATGTTTGGCCTCTCAGGAAATATCATTTGCATTACTCCATGCTGCATTTTAGACATGACAGACAAGCTAGTATGAACTCACTGTTTTCCCATTGGTGGTATGAACATGAACTTCTTCATCATTGATCCTAAGAACTTCTCCATCAATCCATGCCAACACAGGGTCTTCGACCCATACATGAGAACCTACTATAATGTTATCCGTTGTAGCCTGCAAACGTGAGCACATTAGGCAGGTAAAGAGGATCCAAAAGGAAAGTTTACAGATGCAACAAAGTTTCCATGCCAATTCTTGTAAAGATGCAAACTGTTATAACAGCAATGCATATCATCATATTTACATTGTAGAAATGTAAAAACGTAATTATATCAAGAGCTATATATATATATATATACTGGCTATGCTGACTGATGTTTGCGGCATATCAGGCATGCAAGACATCAACTAAAGAAATAAAAGACTTACACTATAAACTAACCAACCTATAGTGAATGTGAGAGAGAGAGAGTTAATAGGGAAGAGATGAAAAGCAATTCCCAAATTTCAGTTATAGCCAGTATTACCACATACATTGCATGCTGTTTTGACTGCATTTCTACCATTAACTAAGAGTTGACTGAGAAGTCAAATGTGCAGTTGACAATATACTAACCCGCCCCCCAAAAATCTTCGCCAGTGTCAAGCTATGCAGCTAGAACTGTTGATTAACTGATAATCGCAAGATTTGATGAAACAGGTTAGTTGCCTCTGTTAATTTTAAAAAACCGATCGGGATGGCGAACAAACTATATTAATTCAGGCAAAATAATCACCACAAATCCTCAGTAATACTAACACATAAGCTTCTCCGAGTTCTTCATCAATATATTTAGGAAATGCAAATATGTTTCCACTACTACATAATTTTTTGGAACCAAACCATGTCAGGCACTAAAAGATTTATTGCTTTAAACCAAATAAATAAATAAATAAAAATTGACACAAATTTAACCAGCTTCCCATGTTTAGCCCATAACTCATGCCTAACCACCACCTCCGCTTCATTTGCCTTTAAAATAAAAATAAATAAAATAAAATACATCCTGTTTTCTGCCGTATTTAATTGTCAAGCGGTTCAAAAATCTAATAATTCTTGGATTAGCATATCATCTCCTATCATCTAGCAATGCATGTGATTCAACAAGCTTAAATCGAACCATATTCATTCTTGCTCGACCATAAAAATTCATTAAAAAAGAAAAATTCAAAAACTTAAATCACTAATCATACTCCATTTATATGTTATAACAATTAGAATTATTTATTATATAAAAGAGAAAAAAAACTCCATTAAAATCCATTGATTCAACTAATTGACAAATAAAGGCAACCAAGAAATCAAGCAATCCAAAAACAAGAAGAACAAACTTTATTTGTAACCTACCATGACGATCCTATACCGCGATCTTCTTAACTCATTGAATAAATTAACGACGGAGTGAAGGAGGAAGGGAAGTGATCAGTGAGTCGGATCGGAAGAACACGTACGACCTGCAGCTCTTTAGAGTTTAAAGCTGCAGCAACAATCAATCTTAAAGAAGAGAAACGAAGCGGTAGACGATAAGAAGAAGCAAAACAACGTTTTTGAAGAATTTTTAGCAAAAATAAAAGCTTTTTGATTTTATTTATTCAGTAGCTGTTGTATGCATTTCGGGTTTTGTTAAAAACGAAAGGGAGGCAAGTTAATGGACACTTACAAATAAATAATAAATAAATAATGAAAGCAAAGCAAAGCTTGTAAGCTCCTCTGCCTTACTGGTCAAGTGGGGTCCAGTGAGGGAGGATGCTAGTTGGCCATTCGTGGTCGCCACAAACAGTGGTTTTTTCTTTTTTGGTTTTCTTAACTAAAACCGATATCAGAAGGAGATTAAGACAAGAAACTATGTTTTGTGTCTTGTTTTTTGTTTGTCTTTTGGACATATGCTTGCTGTTTTTTACTGCATCAGCCATCGCTTTTTGAGGAGGGGAGGAATATAGTGAAAGAAAAGGAGTGCGTCAGTAACCAACCGTCGACTGCTGATTCAATGATTCCATGTCTTCCAAGGAATGTCATTGTGGTTAAAAAAAAATTATTTTCTTTTTTATTTTTAATTTAAATTTTAAAGTCAATTTATATAGAGAATTTAATAAAAAATTCAATGCACTAAATCAACTTAGAAAATAGGACCTTATATAACTGGATTGACAAATAAATTAATTCAAAAATACCTTATTATTGAATAATAATAATAAAAAAAAAGAATCCAATTCAATACGTCAGTAATTAATCAATTTTATGTCAAGGGGCTGGCTCATGGGTGGGCCAGGTTGAATTGAACTATACCGCTTTATTGTTTTCTATTTCGCTCAAAGTTGGCGAATGAAGTAACAACAATAATAATAAAAGCTTTTAAGATCATTTCAAACTTGTGTTAACGCACTCAAAGTAAATTAAATAAGTTATTTCAGAATCATGCATATCTCATTAATTTTATATTACTTGATGAATTAGAAAAGATCATATATGGGTATATATTAATTCATTGACCAAAAAGATAAAAATAAAAACCGACGTTTATTGTTTTTCTAGCACGAAAGAATAAGGAGAGTTTTGCTTATTTTGTCATATCTTTATAACGTAAATATCTTTCTTTTGTTGTGGCACGAATGGAAGAGAATTTGATCTAAATATAATCAAGATTTTCATATGGGTTTTTTTTTTTTTTTTTTTTTGGGATATGTAGTAATTCAAGTTTGCCAATTATGGCATTATAATCATTTCAATTACCGAAGATTTTGTGGCGTAAGGTTTAACCTGATCAAATCTAAACTTAGAATTCCTTTCAATAATTCTTGTCAAATTTGAATCTTCCGTTTATATCATGTTTGTAATTAGAGATACGATATTGATCGGTTTAATTGAATATATTATAATTTTGTTATTGACCCATGCATGAAAAATTAGATTGGAATCCTCAATATGTTTTATTTTATCATGTTCGTTAAATATAATTTATTAAATTTAAATTGAATAGATAAGATTTAATGTACGATAAAAAAAAAAACAACAATTTAAATCCTTAATTATATTTTATTTCTCTCATTTAATTCAAAACTAAAGAGGGATTTGAAACATAAATTTTCATTTTTTAAGGATGTATCTCTCACATCGACATTAGCCGATATATTCAAAAAAAAATTTAATAAATTCTTATGCATACCAATTCCAAAATTTAAACCTCAAAAGTCATGAAAGAAAATAATCTTCTTTGACCACCAACTTTATCATTGGTGCTCAATATATTATTCATGGGATAGCTGCTAATTGCATGTGGATAATAGGTTTTCCTCACAAGTGAAGAGTAAATATCCTAAACTTAGGTCTAAATTCTTGTCTCTCTTTTATTCTCTCCAATTTCATCTTGACGAAACCTCTTCATATTTCCTAATATTCAATCCACAACCCTAGGCCTTAGTTTGTGAGCAAACCCATGAATGGAAGGATATGAGCCGTAGAAAGTTCATTGATACAAAATATCTCAAATTAATTACTCGTATAGATTCAATGCAAAAAATGGAGAAGGATATTGCTAGATTGATCATTTGCTATTAGCACACAATAACGATCTATATGCACAACATTGTTCATATTAAAATTACGACCCTTCTTCTCGTTGCGTCAATCAATCTTAGGTGGCATTTCCATCGGGCATGCTCATGGAAAGATCTTGATTCCGCATTTTTTTCTCAACCTTACCATTACAATTGCCACAGTTATTGTCTTATTGATCAAAAACCAACATTTTTGAAAAGGATAATAAAGTTTTAAACTATGGGATTCTACGTAATCCATTAATGTCTTTTCTCACTTCCTTGTAATTAAGATTCCATTTAAATTATATTTTAACTTTTTTATCCCCTTAAAAATCATTCCTCTCTTTCTAGAAAAGCACTAAATATGAATAATGGCTATAAAAATGAACATAAAATTTAAGAATTCAACTCATACTAAAACTATAGGTAGTCCATGAAAGAATGTACATTGAATAAGTGTTGCTTTCTAAAGTATGAATTATATGAAGGTTTTGGCAAGTGGTTGTTTTTCAAGATCGAACCCCAAGCCTCACGAGCAAGTAAAAACAAACTTAAACCGAAGTGCTACCACATAGCGATTCTTAGGGAATAATATGCTCTTTTTTTCATTCTTAAAAAAAAAAAAAAAAAAAATTGTTTATCTTCGTATTATATATATATTTTTTTGTTCAAAATACTTGTCTTGTCCGTTAAGGAAATAGATTATCTCATAACTATTTCTTTATAGTTTGGTATGATTACTATTGTTAGTTTAGTTATTCTTATCTTTGGTTATTCTTTGTACTATAAATACCTCATGTATAGACTTTACTAATCAATAGAAAACATAACGGTTTCACAAACCTCTTTATGCTATCCAAGCTTACCAATTAAAGTAGAAAGTATTATCATTATTTTCCCTTCTTCATAATGGTTGGTCAAATTACTTCTAATCCACCAAATCGCTTAACATTCCTTCACCATCAAACTCACACCTTGCGATAATTTGGCATGGAAGACTCAATTTCTTCCACTAATTAACTATCAAATATCACTAGTTTTAATAAAGGAACTTCCTTTGAACCTCCAAAAATTGTTCCTTCCTCTTTAAATCCAAATGATATGATCCCTAATCTAGCTCATACAACTCGATTTCGGCTTGATCAATTATTACTTTCATGGCTTCTTTCATCACTTAATAAAGAGATCTATTTGTATGTTATAGGATTAACTTCATCTTTTTCTATTTGGAAGGCACTAGAAAGTACTTTTGGTTCCGTATCTCAAAATCATCAACTTCAGATGACTATTGAACTTCAAGAGCTCAAAAAGAAGGATATCTCCATGTTTCAATATCTTCGAAAAGCCAAAGGTTTAGTTGATAAACTTGCAATCGTTGATTGACCCTTCTCACCAGTTAAGTTTAATGTGATTACTTATCGCAATATTGGAATGAATTTTCATCATATTATCATAGTCTTAAACATTCATACCAAACCTATTTCACTCTCTAAACTTCATGTTCACCTGTTTGCACATGAAATCTTGCTTAAAAATGTGCAAGAACCACCATTAGCCAATGTCAATGCCTCAATAATCATATCGGGCATCACCAACTCCTAATGCTACTCCAAAAAAGTACCATCCTCAAGGAAATAATCGACACAATAGGGGACCTTGTCATATTTATGGGTATCATAATCACACTCGTTGATTGTTGTCGTAAATGCTAGCTCCTCATCAACCAAACTATTCGACGCCACTAACCAATGCCGCTTGGACAACTCAATCATATCGGGCTCCAAAATATTTATCATCGTCCATGCCATTGATGTTTAATGGACCACCAATGCCAAATTTTACTCCTTTTATCGAATCACATACTCAATATAGTGGATGTTATCCCGATACTAGTGCAACTCATCATATAACACTAGAACTCGTTTTCCTTCTATTACTCCAATGAATACAAAGGTTTATATAAACTAAAGGTTAGTAATGGTTAGGCACT